GGCCAGCCGTGCCGGGGGGTTCCGCAGGCCATCGGCCGGGCACGGCTGGCGGCGGTGTCCGTGAGGAGCGCGTCCTTCCCGGCCCGGGAGTGTTTTCCTGCGGCTTTCCAAGGGCGTCCTCGCAGGATCTGAAGCTCAGGGTCGCAGCCCGCCGCGCCGCCACCGCGTGTATCGTGCGTGGATTGTGCACGGACCGCACATCCCCCTGGGGCCGGGGGCCGCGCCGGCGAGGGACAGCACCCGGCCGGTCCCAGCCTGCCTCCGAGAAGGCGGCAGTGTAGAGTTCAAACGCATCAAACTATCAGAAGTCATTTATCCGGTTTCATAAATAATGTTCTTATTATCTCCAGCCCCCTTAATTCATGCTCCTGTCCGCTTGATTGCGGGGTTTCAGCAGATAAAAAGTTTATAAGTTGGTCGGGTTCTTGTTTTCCTTTTTCCATCATTAACATCATTAATATAAGCTATCAATAACCCTGTCGTTTGGAGCATAGCTTCACAGTATTGATTTGTGCAGCTATTCATCTCTGCCATAGAAGACACGGAATAATTTTCGCATTACAGTAGCTTGGATTTGCTTTTAATTCATATTTAAAGCTGCAACTGGCTCTGTGGAGCTCTCTGCGAAAGACTAGAGGCGCCTAATTAATAATAAGTTAGAAACGAAGGAAGGCACCAGCGGATAAATAATTAATACAGACATCTCTGTCTCTTTGAGTATTGCTACTTTAAAAATTTAGACTTACCAGGGCCATACTGTAAGTCTGCAAGTTATATTGAGGAGATGATTTAAGAAAGCTATTTTTTTCCTGAAATACAATGCTAAATTATTTACGGTGTTTTGCAATCTTCCATAAGTTCCTTCATTAACAAGCGCTGCGGTTTGCTCCGGGGGGTGCGGAGAGCGCGGCTGCAGAGGGACCGCGGCGGCTCGGCCGGGCAGCGCCCTGCCGCCCTCGGGGCTCGCTCGGTGCCCTCTGCCAGCTCCGCGTCCTTCAGCCGGCCAGGCCCCACCATGGGGGCTCCCGAGGAGAGAAGGCAAGAGCCCAGCGCCCTTAGGCAGGTGGCAGGGGCCGGCTTGGAGCGAATTCGGTCGCCGCGCTGCCGAGCCTGGGTTCCACGAGGCTTCCCTCGGGCAGAAGTCCGGGCCCGGGGCAGAGGGCTGCGGGAGGGGGAAAGGCAGGACCCCCCCGGGCGGGCACCCGCAGCGAGCCCCCGCCGCGCCGCAGCTTCCCCTGAAAGCCGGGCCCTCCCCCACCTGCCCCGGCCGGCGCAGCCCTCTGTTCTCCGCCTGCCCCCGACAGATGTATATGTTTTTGTCGCCAAGCAAGTTTCCAAGAAGCTCGACAGGGGAAAGTCTGGAAAAGTTAATCCCCCCCGGCAGCTGTTGGCTTTGGGAGCCTTCGAGCGTCACCTTTGACACGCTGCCCGTGCGAGGGGACCCGGTGCCGCAAGCTGTCACCGCACAGGAGGCGCGGGAGGGCGCGGGCGGCGCCAGCCCCCTCACACGCCATTGAAAGAAAAGCAAAGTGGAAAAGTGGAATACAAATAAAAATAAATTAAAAGAAGAAAAAAATAAAAGAAAGTAAAAAAAAAAAAAATAAAAAGGAAAGAAAAGCAGCTCTGTCCGGTCGGTTGCAGCGCGCTGTGCTCGCTGCCCCGGGCCGGGCCGCCACGTCGGGCGGGCCCCGGTGCCCGCGCGGTGTTTGCTGGCGTCAGGCGGGAGATTACGGCCGTTTCAGGGTGTCATTAGCTCGGATTTAAAAAGCACACACACGCCACGCAATTCAAACAAGCAAAGTTGCGTTTTAAGTCCGCTCCGAGTATCTGCTGATCAAATAAAGACTTAAGGGCGGTAACGATTATTCTGTTAAATATATGGTACTTGACTGCACAAGCAGTAATTGATTAGCGCACCGAAATGAGCTCTCTCCGGCGCTCGCCCTTCGCCAGTGGGGCGGGAAGCTCGGCGGGGGAACCGTGCCGAGGTCCGGACGAGGGGAGCCCACGCACGGGCACCCCCGACGGCTGCGGGGAGGTGTGCCGACCTCGTCTGCCCCGTCCCGGGCTTCTGCGAGCCCGTGCCGGGGTCCCGGCGCACTCTGCAGCTGAGACGGGACCGGGCTCGTCGGGCCCGAGCTCCTGCTCTGTCCTCCACGCCGGCGGCTTTTGCGCACCAGAGCCGCTTCGTCCTTGGGTCACCCCCAGAGTAACGGAAAAATATTTTCAAAATAAAAGATGCATGCAGGGGTGGGGGGAGCTGGGTGCGTTCATACGATCACTCTTTTTTAAGGTTACAGATTGAATCTCGACGGAGGCCAGCGTGTCACAGAACTCTCCAAATTTTTTGCGTTCGGGTTTATACTCATTTCTTGAAGAAAAATTTGATGTTGCAATTTCCCCCAAACTCGAGGAAGTAACATATTCTCTATGACGTTTGCTTTGATAACTAATCGCTAAGTACACAGAGATTAAATATTTTTAATTAAACTGTAAATTGTGTACAGATATTGATAATGAAGAAGCTGACAATGTTTCGATTAGATCTGTGACATCACCTTGCGTTGGCTTGGGAAACAATCACAGCTGTTCACTTCGGTCTTAAAACGTTCTCGATTATTTTATTTTATTATTGTCTTTTATTGTATTTTATTTTTGCATTATATTGTATTTTATTTTATTTAATCCTAAACATTTTCTGAGGTCACTGACTAGGTTTCAGGTTTATTTTTTCTTCTTTGCCAGAAATACATTTCCTTATCTACTCCTCGCTATCAGAAATTGAGATACTATCAGCGTTAACGTTACAAAAATTTTGAGAGTTGTGGAAGCATTTAGGGCTGGGGGTGGCTGGGGTGGTAGGAACAGTGCGGGACATGTACGTGGGACTTTTTTTAGCACAAAATAAAATACAGGGAACTCCTTGCGCCCAGGGAAAATGAACGGCAGTGAGTAATTGATTTCTATTGGAGACGGGGTTCAATAGCTCAGAATTCTTAAAAGTGTGCGTGTGTGTGTGTGTGTGTGTGTGTGAGAGAGTGAGTGTGATAATTTTGGGAAATACATAAAACCGCTGTGGAAATTCTGAATTCATAGAGGCGAAAAAGTATACTCGCTTCCAGGGCCATACACGCAACACACACACAGACGATAGTTGTGATTCTAAAAGTTTCCTGCGAGCCTCCCAGCGCCTGGTGAATTTTGAGCTGCCCGAGCGCAGGCACACGCGGGCTGTGCACACGCAGCCACGCACGGGGCCGGTCCCGGGCAGCAGTCCCCAGGCCGGGGGGACATCCCAGGGCATGGTCCCCGTGAGCGCCCCAGGAGTGCGGCGGTGCCTGGGCGAGAGGCACCGGGGGCTCCCGCTCAGCCCCGAATCTCCTCGCGGGGTGCGGAAGGACGGGCCGGACGCTTCGGTGCGAGGCACGGTCCGCACGGCCGCAGCCTGCGGGGCCACACCCGGTCCGTGGGCGTTGTGGACGGGCAGCAGGGAAGGAGCGGGCCGGGCCTGGCTCCGGCCATGGGGCTCCTCGCCGAGGCCCCGCCGCTGCCCCGGCCTCGGCCGCTGGTGCGGGACTTCTTGCTCAAAGCGCGGAGTGAGCGGTCTCGCTGCCTCGGTGAACCGGAGAACAGTGAGACCCCACGGGACCGACCCCGAGCCGTGCCCTTCCCCTCGCCCCGAGGGGAATCTCCGCAGGCCCTGTGCGTGAAGTTAGGGCAAGAACTCCGAGAAAAGTAACCCCAGGGGCTGATTTCAACTCGCTCCCAGAGGGACTCTGCCCCAGGACCGGCTCCTGTCTCTGTCCCTGCCGCCTGCGCTCCCCGCGGAGCTCTGCCCGCTGGCAGCGACTCCTGCCTCCTGCCAGGGAAGGGGCCTCGGAGCTCTCAGCGGAACGCGGGGAGGGTGACCCACACCTCTGCACGGGTCCCGCGGGACGAAGCGGCTCGCCCTCGCTCTGCGTGCCGCCGGTGCGAGCTTTGCCAGGACAGGTGCTCAAGTCCTACCCGCCCCCTTCCATGGAAAAGACACCGGGGTCCCGGCCCGAGCCCCAGCGCGGCGGAGATCCGCTCGCTGTCCCCGGGCCTGGCCGGGGCGATGGGGACAGGCGGCTCCGCAGGGTGCCGAGAGCAGCCGCGGTCCCCGACAGCAGTGCGGGGGGAAGCGGCGGCGGCCTTTGTGCGCCGCCGGCCCGGTGCCGCCCGGCTGCGGCCCCGCGGCTCTCCCGCGGCTCGGCTCGGCTCGGCCCGTCCCTCCCGCCGCTCGGCGCCGCGCACACGCTGCACTCTGCCCGGCGTGGTTCGTTATTGTTAATGGGCGAACAATAGGCACATCTGCCCTTTCTTCCAGCATAAAGGCACCTTAGCTAACGAGGGGGGCCGGCGGGTGAGCTCGCTTGTTCTTTCTCCTCCGCCTCCTTTTCTTTCTTTTTGAAGAAAAAATAAAAGAAAACCAGCGGCATGTCCGGCTGCTGGGCGCCTCGAGACATATGCTCGCCTTGCACCGCCGGGCACGCCCGGGGTCCCCGGCGGGAGCTGCAGGGGGGCGTCCCCCGCATCGCACCGCCCGGCCGGACCGCGGGACCCCCGGGGCGGGGCTGGCGGTGCAGGGGCGCGGGGCTGAGCCCGGGACGCAGCGCCGTGGGGCTCCCACCGCCCATCCCCAGGCCGGGCAAGGGGAAGTTTCCCCGTAGGGCACCTGAGAGGAGCGATACCGGGACAGGCGGCTGCGGGACAGCGTGGGGAGATACGGCGGGGAGTGCGGGGGACACGGCCCGCGGGCGCCGCGGGGCAGGGCGGTCCGGTGTCACCTCCGGAAGCTGCCGGTGAGGAGGCTCCGCGCTCACGGAAAACGCGGAGTCACCGAAGGGGCGGGGCGGGTGTCCCTGCCGGGCGCGGGGCGGGGCGGCGCTCCGTGCCCGGGGCGGGAGCTCGGCCCGGGGCAGCGGCACCGCCGCTCTGGGCCCCGCCGCGCGGGCTCGCCCGCTTAATAGCGGCGCTGACGTCACGGGGCGGGGCGGGCGGGCGGGGCGCCGCGCGCGTGCGCGGTGCGGCGGCGGCGGCGCTGCAGCACGGAGCGGAGCCGGGGCGCGGGGGCAGAGAGAGCCATGGCTGGGGATGGCGAGGGACGCGGCCACACGCCCGCCGCGGCCGCGGCTGCGGGGCCCGGCCTGAGGGAGCGGCGGCCCTAGGACCGGCCCGGCGGCGCCAGCCGGCAGCGGGAAAAAACAAATTAATACGTTGCCACAAAATAAAAATTAAAAGGAAAAAAAAAATAAACCAAACCAACCAACCGAAAACCGGGAAAGCCAGCAGCCCGGCAACAGCAGCAGCAGCACCGCCACCCCCAGCCCGCAGCGCTCGCCCGCCGCCGCCGGCCCGCGGGAGCAACCGGCCGCCGCCAAGAGCTCCGGGACGCCCCGCCGCCCACCAGATAGATGTGCGGTCCCGCCGCCCGCACGGCCGACGATGAACGCGCAGCTGGCGATGGAGAACATCGGCGATCTGCACGGGGTGAGCCATGAGCCGGTGCCCGCGGCCGCCGATCTGATGAGCGGCAGCCCCCACCACCGGAGCGCGGTGGCCCACCGCGGCAGCCACCTGCCGGCCCACCCGCGCTCCATGGGCATGGCGTCCATCCTCGACGGCGGCGACTACCACCACCACCACCGGCCGCCCGAGCACGCGCTGACCGGCCCCCTGCACCCCACCATGACCATGGCCTGCGAGACACCCCCCGGCATGAGCATGAGCAGCACCTACACCACGTTAACCCCTCTGCAGCCTCTACCTCCCATCTCGACGGTCTCGGACAAGTTCCCTCACCACCACCACCATCATCACCACCATCACCATCCCCACCAGCGGATACCGGGCAACGTGAGCGGCAGCTTCACGCTCATGCGGGACGAGAGGGGTCTGGCGTCTATGAACAATCTCTACACCCCCTACCACAAGGATGTTACCGGCATGGGGCAGAGCCTCTCTCCGTTGTCTGGATCGGGCCTGGGGAGCATCCACAACTCCCAGCAAGGGCTGCCCCACTACGCTCATCCCAGTGCCACCATGCCCGCCGAGAAAATGCTCACCCCAAACGGATTTGAAGCCCACCACCCTGCCATGTTAGCCAGGCATGGCGACCAACACCTCACCCCCACCTCCGCTGGCATGGTGCCTATCAACGGGATCCCACACCACCCCCATGCCCACTTGAATGCCCAGAGCCACGGGCAGATCCTGGGCTCTGCCAGGGAGCAAAACCCTTCTGTAACTGGTTCGCAGGTCAACAGTGGAAGTAATTCAGGGCAAATGGAAGAAATCAATACCAAAGAAGTAGCTCAGAGGATCACCACCGAGCTCAAGCGGTACAGCATCCCCCAGGCTATCTTCGCCCAGAGGGTGCTGTGCCGCTCTCAAGGGACGCTCTCAGACCTGCTGAGGAACCCCAAGCCCTGGAGCAAGCTCAAATCCGGCCGGGAGACCTTCCGCAGAATGTGGAAGTGGCTCCAGGAGCCGGAGTTTCAGCGGATGTCTGCTCTGCGGCTTGCAGGTGAGCCCGCTGCGGGGTGTTCGGGGCACGGCAGCGGCAGAGCGGGGCCTCGGGCCTGGGCAGGCCGCCGCAGTCCCTGCCCGTCCCTGAGGAGCAGCACCGATCCCCCGCTCCGCCACTCCATTTCCCTCCCTTTCCCTCTCCCTCTCCCGGCTCGGCGCACCGGCACCGTCCGGTTCCTCTGCGCCGCGCTCAGACAAAGCCGAGCCGGGCTCGGGCTGCGCAGCGCGGCGCCCCGGCTCTCCCCGTTCCCCGGCCGGGCGAACCCGCCAGGGTCTCCTGCCGCCGGCAGAAAGACGCCCAGCGCGCCCGGTAACGGGACGCCGCCGAAAGCCGCACCGGCCGGCGGCAACGCTGCCCGGAGCGCGGAGGGCGAGGCGGAAAGGCTTGAATGGGCCCACGGACGGGGTACGGGGGAGCCCCGGTAATGCGCCGCCGAGAGGAGTCGGTGCGCCTGCTTTGTGTGAGGGGCGGTGGGCTCGGGTCGCGGCGGGGCTCGGGGCCAGCGTCCCGCTCGGGCTGGGTGAGCTGGGACAGGAGCGAATGAGCCGAGCCCGGCGGGTGAGCGGTGCCTGAGAAATGCTGGTGGCTAAAATCGTTGGATTTTTTTTTTTAAACTGGTTGTAGTTATCATTAGGCCGCGCACTTGGAGTTTCTCGTGGACGTCTCTGTGTGAGACAAACCGGCCGTGCCGCGGCTCCGCTGCTCCGCAGCCTCCCCCCGCTGTCGCGCTTGCTGCCCGGTGTGCTCCCGAGCGGGTCCCGTATTGTCTGCTCAGAGATGGCCGTCCCGGTCCGTACCTGTGCTCTGCCGCCGCCTCCCCAACCCTCCCGTCTGCAGAGCCCGGGTTTAATATACCGTCAGTGAGGGTTTGTTAATTAAGTGATAGGTCTCCATTAATTTGTCCCTGGAGAACGCAAGACAGTCAATCCGAGTTGGAGCCAGGGTCACTGATCCGTTTCACAGACAAAAATAAGGAAAGGGCCAAATCTTTCTCCGTTCAAAAGCACAACTGGTTTTGCGCTTTCGACTACCGAGACGGTGAGAACTTGCGACCGTTTCCCGAGTGTGCAGAGACGCAGCTGGGCCACCACCGTGCTCCGTGCCCATTTCAGTCAACCACCGTGTTGCAGAAACCTAAAGCAGAGCCAGGAAGGGTCCGGGGAGGGCCTCCCTCCCCGCTGTAGTTGGCCCTTAGGTGCCCGCCGGTGGGAGGACGTTGCTCTCTTTGGCTTCCACTCCTGCGGAGTCAGTTTCAAAGGTCTGAGCTCTCTGAAACTGCCCTTTCCGCCTTCCCTTTCTCAGCAGCCACCCCACCAGCGAAAAACCCTCGTCTTGCTGGTGCTACCCAGGAGAGGAGGATGGAGTTTGTGTTTGCAATATCCCCGTAACGACTGCTAAGGCGAACTTCCTTCGATTTGGAGCGTATTTTTACGACAATTTGGTCGACCTGAATCTCCGCTCATTTGCATAGATCGATACTGGAAACAACCCCTCGATTCGGAGCCTGCTGGCATCCCTTCCCTGGCGCTGCCGGCCGGGAAGCTCTGCCAGCCCTGGCTGCTGCAGGGCCGGGAGGGAGGGAGGGAGGGAGGCGGCCGTGCTCTGCCCAGCTGCCGGGTCCGGAGGGTCCCATTGTTCGCTTCTGCCCCCAGACCGCCCCTTCTTCCAGCCACCTCAGCGCTGCCCTCTCATAAACGGATCCCGGTAATCCCGTTAGAGAGACAAAGCCTCATTATTCCGCCTTCCCTTTCCGATGAAACCCGAAAGCTGGCACCTTACAGAAACAGCCTCCCCGGGGTGAAGCGGGGTTGGCAGCACGGGGGGGTCGGGATGTACCGCCCGCACCCCGAGTCCGCGGGCCGGGCCGGGCCCTGCAGGGCTCTCCCCGCGTACCGGGGGCTCCGGGCCTCGCCGGGTGCTGCCCACCGGGGCGCCGGCAGCACGTGGGCATTTGCATAGAGCTGCGTCCCCGCCAGCGGGGCGGTCCCGGGGCCCGCCCCGCCCCGCGCAGCCTGCGCGCCCTTCCGCGCCCCTCTGCGCCGGGAAATGCATAAAGGATCGATTTTATTTTGTGAAGGTTTTAAATGTGTGATGATCTTACTAAGTGGTAAAAATCTGCCCCGACTGATATTGATGTATGAACATCAATTCAAAATAACATAAATTACTGCAGCCGACGCAAATTAAATTTCGCGTCCAAATTATAACTCACTCCCGGACGTTTAGAGAATTATCAGGTAGATAAATACCCAGAACCGCCTTCATTTCTTCCCTTTCTGATTTCCTGCAGACAACAACCGGGAGGCAGTGAGGGGGATGGAGCCTGCTTATTTTAGGCCTCGCGGTCTCGCCTTGCACTTTATCTTGAGTATTTGCCCCTTCCAGTCGTCCCTGGGGGATTCCTACCTCCCAGATTACAGAAGCTCCGACAAATAGAAGAAAAATTGGTAGTTACATGGAAGCAGGATTGAGGTCTTGACACTTCCTGGGCTGTCTCTTGAAATGTAAGCAGAACTGCTAATTGCAAAGCTGACCTCTTCCAGCCTCCATTTTATTCATCCCATCTCCCTTCCCTTCTCTGTTCTTTTTTCCTTTGTCTGTCCACTCTCTCTCTCCTCTCTATCACTGAATATTTATCTATTTGACTGTCTCTCTGTTAGTCTTCCCTCCCTCTCCCTCGCCTTCATTGACATTTGGAAGGGCTGTGAAGGGACGCCGAAAAAAATAAATACAACTAAAAGAAAAGGTACATCCCTTCTACAGCCTGCTGGGGTTTAAGGCTGAATTCATTTCAGTTTGTTGGATTTTTTTTTCGTGTGTGTGAGAGAGGAAACAGGAGGAGAGAACGGAAGAAAAAAACCCCGACTTTATCTTGTTCAGGAAAAAAATAATCTGCTTCGATCCATTCATTGTTGGAACTGCGACTGCCCGCCGGCCTCGCACGGGCCCGCCGATCGGGAGGAAGGAGGAGGCCCGGGAAAACGCGGCTAAGACACATTTTGCGAACGGGCTAGAGGAGTTTAAGGGAGCCCAAGGTTCCTTAGGATCTGCTGCCGGAGGGGCTCCTTTGCCCATGTGTGCCCTCGGAGCGAGCGGGCCCCAAGGGCCCCTCCGTGGGGGCTCCCCGAGCGGTGTCAGCGGGGAAAGGCGCCGTGGGGAACCCGCGCTCCCCCGCGGCTCCCGGAGCGGGCAGGCCCGTCCCTCCAAAGCTGCTCCATGTTTGCCTGCGACCTGACTGGTATTTTTCATAGCTGCACCCCTTTTCCTCCCCTCCTCTTATCCTTTCTCCTCCCTAATGTGAATCCCGACTAAGTTGAAGCCTTGGGAAGCCGGCGAGAAATTCTCGCCAAATTAACTGTAAAGAAATCGATGGAGTAATCAGAGCGTTTTCCACATTAAATATGAAATCTAATGACGCCGTTTGCACCTCTCGCCCGCCGCCGCCCCCGAGCGCGCCGGGAAGGTCTGGGCCGCCCCGGCCCCGGTGGCCTCATTAGGGGCTGTTTAATATTTACCCTGCGGGCACTTTGCATAAAGGCGTTTGCATCAGGGAGGAGGGGGCATCGACCGGGGCCTTCACCGGCGACACTCCGAGCGCGGAGCGGGCCCGGGGGACACAGGCCCTTCCCCTCCCGACCCCGCGGACCGCTCGGACGGGGCGGCCCGGGCCTGGCCCGGCGCACCTCGGGCCGTGACAGCGGCCGCTCCGCTGCTGCTGGAGCTGCGCTCGGGCCGAGGCAAGGGGCCCTGTCCCGGAGGGATCGGAGGTGGGAGAGCACCCGGAGCAGCCGTGCCCGGTGCGCAGCCAGGGCAGCGCTGGGGCGCACTTGTTTGCCGGCCGTGTCCTTCGGCGGGATTGATTTACAGCCGCGTTTGCCCTTCGTTAATGTTTGCCCAGCGGGAGGAGGAGAGGGCCGGGCGGGCCGCGTTCCTCCGCACTGGGCCGGGCCCGTGCTGGCAGAGCCCCCGCCCCGCAACACGGCTCGGCCCCGCTTGTTTGCTCGTGCGTGCGCTCCCCGGCTGTTTGTTTGTTTTCATTACCCGCCGCGTGGCGGGGCGGCACCGGGGGCCGTGCCCCGTCCCACCCTCGCCGCCGTTTGACTCGAACAGCCCCAAAGCGGGGCGGCTCCCGCCCGTGGGTGCCGCCGGGGCCGCCCCGGGTCACGCAGCCGGGCTGCGGGCGCGGTGCCCGCCCCGACCGGCCGGGGCCATCGTGCCGTCCGCAGCCCTCGCTCGTCGCCCCTCGGTTCCCGGGGGTTCTGCGCCATCTACTGACCGCCGGCGGGCGGGAGCGGCCCCGCCGGCCCGGGCACCCCGCCCGCACCGGGCGGCGGCGGCGGCTCCGGGGAGCGCTGCGAGCGGAGAGCCCCGCGCCGCCCCCCGGGCCGGCTCCGTCCTCTCGTTCCCCTTGAGCACGGAACGAGTGAGGCCCTGCCCGGCTTCAGCACCACGAACAGCGACCGCCGGCGGGGCCCGACCCCAGCTCCACCTCCGCCTCCGCCCGGGCGGCCCCGCTCCCGGGCCAGCCCCGCGGCGCGCCGGGGCCGGACCAGCCCCCTCCGGCTCATGGACTCAGCCGCTCGTAGCCCGGGCGCAGGTGCTTGTTGAGCCTCCCCATGGCTGCCGACCCCGATGGGGAGCGGCATCGCATCGATTATACGTAGCTGCAGCCGGCAATTAGTGCGCGGTGCTGCGGCGAGCGCCGGGCTGAGCGCCGGGCTGAGCGCCGGGCTGCCCGCGGCGGCAGCGGCTCGGCTCCCGGCTGGGCAGAGCCCTGAGAGCCGCCCTGTTATGGGCATGAGGGCCTTTGAGCGGCTGCGTGCCCAGAGGGAAGCGAGCTTGCCCCAGCACGGTAACTCAGCCAGCCAGAGGTGTCGGGATCCCCCGGGAGGAGAGGAGAGGTGCGTGGCACCAGGATTGTGCCCGCTGCAGGTGGCACTGGTAGGGAGCTCGGGCTCCTGCCGGTGCTACAGCTGGGTTCCAGCGTGTGCCATCTG